TTCCCGAGAAGTTAATCGCAATATTACAAATGCTTTATACTAGTAGCCGAAGCCGAGTCCGAGCTTATGGCACTTTTTCATCCGAGTTCACCGCGGAAATTAATGTTCGACAGGGTTGCCCTCTCTCCGTTTCTATTTACCTTCGTGATAGATTCAATTCTTGAAACAGTGCTATCCTCATGTGAGGATAGCAGCATCGATTTACTTCCAGGTGACAGTGTCTGATCTAGAGTATGCAGACGACATTGTGCTACTAAGTGGAGACCCAGGTAAGTTGCAAGCTTTTCTGGAAAGTTTGAGTGCTAGAGTAGCCATGTTCGGCATGCGTTTTGCACCTTCAAAGTGTCTACGTCGCATTGCACGAGACTGGTGGGATAACCAGACTAGCAACGCCGAGGTTAGGCGTAGAGTTTTAGGCATTCGCGGTCGTCCACTGGAGCAAGTGATCGACCTCCATAGATTACGTTGGTTACGCATGTCCCCAGATAGGTTCCGCGGCGAGCGATGTTTGCCAAGGCTGGTAGCGGTTGGAAAAAGATCAAGGGTGGTCAAACGAAGACCTGGCACGAGGGTATGAAAACCCGAACCAGGAGTCTGGATCACATAGGCTCGTTAGTCTCCCTGGCCGGGGACCTCAGGATGATGTCCACCGATGGTTAGAGACGCTGAGTGATATGGCTGGGTGTCGCAGTGGCGCTCGTGCATCCACCCATTATTCCCCTATCACCACTCTATATGAATTCTCCATCTTCCGCTTGAATTTGCTTTCAACATTCTAATCTTCATTCTGCTCTTTTATCCAAATGGGGCACCAAGAAACAGCAACCAAAACCGGCGCACGAAAATGCATGGTTAATGGTTGTCAAAACTGAACTGAACTGAGCCAGGGTGCCTAACACAGCCTATGTCTGACTATTTCGTAGTGTAGCAGCTACTTCTATTTCATTGGATATTATTGCCCATGGTCTTCCTTGAAGCTCTTCATAAGTTCACCTCTTCGCAAAGGAAAGTATATTAACCTATTGATGGTGCTGTACTTGCATACTTCTGGTCGCTCAAGGTGGTGGACGAACTCAAAATGGTCTTTGAGGTGATACTGAATGAGCAACTATAGAAAAGTTACGTGACTTACGTGACATCGCTTGCCAGTTTGAATCAGTGGAAGAAGATCAAAGCGTATTCGGTACAGAAAATCGCGTCTCAGTTACTATTATTTCTCCAGGTTGGAGGAAATCTCGTGGAGGTCAAAATGTGACGTGGAAACGGGATACGGATAAACGCACCGATAGATCAGATAGAGTGAGACACTTAAGGATATGGTGACCAACCGACAACAGTGGCGTTCTTGTTATCCCTTTTAATCGGGTCAGAACGCTTAAAATGGCATCTATGCAGTTAGATTGTATGTTCCGTGTGTTGAGTATAGATGTTCGTTTTCTTTCCTTTCCCTAAAGTTAGGCCCTTGCTTGTATACCATACACATTTTCACTTTGTGCACATCGTGAGCTGGGCGGAAGGCAGTTAAGTTTGCCTCATTGTATTTCACTGCCTGGTGGTAATAACAGGCTCCAAGCACTATTATATAAGCTCTTTGCACCTGGTTGTGGCAAAAATTATCCTGATACACCCTTCATCAAGCGAGTTAAACGGGTTGGGTTGTCTGCGTGTTATCACCCAATGAGATAAACTCTTCTCTGTCGACCCTCACTCGGCAAGACACAAGCGAGTACACTGACGGTTAGTTAACACCCGGGAAATTCGTATGCAAAGGAAACCAGACAGAAAACCACGGCTCTTTAGAATGAAATCAATTTCTAGATAAAAGACCACTGGTTGATGCAGTGACGTGACATGAGCAATTGATGCAATGTTAAGACTCATAAAGTCGTGACCGGGAGGAAATCATGATCATGGATCATAGGCCTTTAGAACAGGCCTTCCATGCATAGATTTCACCATGCACTCTTTGTCCCTTACATCCGCAGACTCTATATCTGGTTCCCAGTAAGAATGCGAATCAAAGACTACCAACTTAGATTAGCGAGTAGACTGCGGCTTCTCAAAATTCAGAGATCTTAGTCGTAAAAAGTCATATGGCGGGGTTTCCAAGCAGAGTATAACCGAGTTCAAGCACCCTGGGGCATAAAAGCTCCTAAAGATGAAGATTCTCGCCAGAGTGAAGAATATTGCAAAAAAAACGTTCACAGTTAAGAACACACGAATTATTATATGGTACAAAGTTCCCAACATCAGACTTTCTGAGTAAGTAAAAATCAATCTAAAAATGAAACAGAGCAGCTAGGGTAAATTAAATGCCTGTGAATTCTTTTTACTACACGCCAGTGTGTGATGAACAGCAGACGGTGAAAGCCCATGGTCACGAAGACCTGCTGTTCAGTGATCGTAACCGGCAACCTGATCCCCGAGACTTGGAGTGGCGAAACACATAAGGCCCCGATAGATCAGGCGTGGTATCGAACCGGGTGACAGCAAAGCTGTCTACCACCAAATTATGGACCACGTTTAAAGAAGCCAGCAGGACTAAAGCAAAGTAAACGACGGTTATATACAGTTCTTCAAGCGTGAAGTTCACTTCACTGTGTTAAGCTGTACAAGGATGATTAAGTCCTAGACAAACAAAAATTCAGTTGAAGTTTCGGGTCCCCAAAAGCAGAAGTAATCACCAGAAATGGTGTCTTCATTGTATTATCTGACGAGTAGGCTGACGAAGCGAGAATAATTCGGTCAGAAAAGGGAAACACATGCTTTAGTCATCCTGATTACCATATAGCTATGCCTCGAAGATAAAAGTTTAAGTGACTTCAGCAGATGGTCCTATTGTACACGAGAGGGCTAGACTGTAAAATACTCTTGTGTGAAATATCAAGAAAAGGACTTACGGTGAAACGTTCCATTACAGCCTCGGTTGCATTGGCCACAAAATTCTGAAATTGTTCATTTCGCGCAACAAAATCTGTTTCACAATTCACTTCGAGGACAACTGCATGTGTCCGCGTTTGCAAAACACCAAGAAGTCCCTGGGAAAGAGGTCTGGTGGAGAGTTTACCCGCTTTTTCCCAACCCCTTCGCACAGCTTCATCATTTAACCACTGGAGAGCTTTATCATACTCATTGTTGTGCTTCAGCAAAGCCTCTTTGCAAGCCGAAAAAGTATACCCTGTCGAACGGCGCAACTTTGATAGCTGGGACTTGTTAACAGCTGATGAGTTAAACCTTATATTTTGGTAGAGTAGATTTTCGAAATTTCTGACATATCGCAGAGACGCCGATAAGAGACCGGAGCGAGCAGTGTGCATCGGCCGTATTGTCCAATGTTCAACGTCCAATGACAACGCCTAGTGTCCAACTGACCTTGAAGACCTGGTGCGCGGTTTGAATTTCAGTTCAGTGCAGTTCAGT